GGCTGCGGCGAGGATTGTAGCGCCCGTAGGCAGGGTTGGCAGCAGCCAGGATGGAGCAGCGGGCGTTGAGTGTTGTGAGAATGCCCGCCTTGGCAATGGAGATGGTTTGCTGCTCCATGACCTCATGGATGGCTGTGCGATCAGCCTCAGCCATCTTGTCAAACTCATCAATGCAGCACACACCCTGGTCAGCCAGCACGAGGGCCCCACCCTCTAAGGTCAGTTCTCCACTCACAGAGTCTCTCAGCACAGCTGCTGTAAGGCCCACTCCAGAGGAGCCCCGGCCTGTTGTGTACTGGCCTGAATAGCAGGGTCAGGAAGAGAAAATAAGCAAACATGTTTAGGAAGAGGAGAAGGAACAAGGAAGGGAGCAAGCAGAGGGCAAAAGAGGCAACAAATGGGGACAGTGAAATGAGGCCTGCACTGAACTGCTCTACTCACCCCCCAGGCCTTCCTAAGACAGCTGAAGATCTGTGGGTTGTTGGCGCTGGCAACACATCCCTTCCCCAACCTTCCCCAACCCTCCCCAACCTCTAGGAAGAGAATCAACATGGTGGTCCTTTCCCTGTCTTCTACGTTCACCTCTCCCAGGTCCGATTACTCACTGCGGGGGGCCAGGCGATCGATGTAAGACAGGAGCTGTGACTTCGCCACACCAGGATCCCCCATCAAGCAGATGTTGATGTTGCCTGAGGAAGGGAAGGAAGCCCTAGGTGACTATTCTTTCAATGCAACTTGTCCAACAGCAGACAAAAATACCTTTGAGGTCTGCTCCCCGATCACACCCAGCACTATTTCTTCTAATCCCATCCTGTGCCCATGAAGCCAAGATGCCGACTTTTACTTTGTAACCTTTGGGACACCAGTCCTTGTCATCCTTTCTTCCGCCCAAATGCCTTCCCTCACCCAAGCCTCTCCCTCATTTCCCCTTACCCCTGATTTTCATGCCTCGAGGGGACTGGTCCACACCACCCACTAGCAAGAGCAGTAGCGCCTTCTTCACGTCTTCATGCCCATATATCTCTGGGGCAATGGAGGCTGCCAACTTTTCATAGAAATCCTCCTCTGTGGGAAAGTGAAGATTAGAAAGAATACTTTTTCTGGGGAGAAAAAAAGCCCCAGGAAGAAACTCACAAGCCCAGTCTTCCCCCTGGCCCCTCACCTGCAATTTGCCTCAGCTCCTCCCTGCTCAGCTCTCCAGCCCCCGACTCATCATCCTCACTCTTATTCATCTTCACGATCCGATGGGCTTCCAGGTAAGTTTCTGAGAGTAAACCCTTAAGCAAAAAAAATGCCAGAAGATGAATGAAGTTCCTTTAACTTGCCCATCCATGTGAGTCCCCAAGGAGTGCCTGAGAGAACGCTTTGTTCTATTTTGTTTGGTGGTTTTCTGCTGACACTTTTGTCTGTGGGGGTGGTGAGAGTGAGTGGGTGAAGAGGAAAGGGGAACATTTCCCCCTCACTGCAAACTCCCTTTCTTACCTGTACCACCTGTCGGAACCCAGTGCGCAGGATTGGCAAGAAGATACCAGTGACGCTGACGTGGTCCCCGGGCTGGGCGATCCTTGTGTTCTCTCCTTCTACCAGCACCGTAATACTACGAGGGATGTTTCCCACGGGCACTTGGTCACTCTACGGGGGAGGAGGGTACAAGAGGCCAGAAGAAAGGAACACGAGGCCTATGAGGAGCTGACCGTCCCTCCCTAGGCCTACCACTTCTACTTTTCGGCCTGCCCAGCCTCAGGCAAACCGACAGGAGGAGGAAAGCTAAGATGACCTTTACCTCTTCCTCACTCAACCAGAAAGTTCCAGTTAAACTTTCCTCCTGCTCTTGGCAACTTCTCTCCCTCAGCTCTTCCCTTTTGTTCCCCTCTCTTCTAGTCCACGAGTGACTGCAGGATTCGAGTAGCCTCCCAAGCTCCACCTTCCCTGGACCCTGCGCCACATACCCCAAACTCACATGTTCTTGCATCTTCATTTCCTGGAATTTGATGAATTTGGAGCCACGTGTCTGCAGATACAGCCGCCCTCCTGAGCGGTTGGTCTGACACTCCTGGCTTGGGCACATGATCAGAGGCATGAAAGTGGGAGACTGGATCTAAGATGTAAGAAAGGAAGTAACAGAGGAAATCAGAAGGAAACGAGGCCCTTAGAATCAGTCACTCAAATCATATTTCTTCTTCATGGCAAATACCATGGATTGTCAAGAACATCTTGAACTATTCTGCATCAACATCAACAGGCACCAAGAATAAAATGAACAGAAAAGACCACCACATACCAGAAAAAGAATAAAACGTGAACATACAGGCATACTTTACAACAGAGAAAATGACAAACACCAGCAGACAAAATTACTTCTTGTTCAAAATGAACAAATTTAAGCATGTGCCTGTTTCTTGCTCCATACATACCGGCTGGTAGGTCTCTGCCCCACACTGGTCACAAGTGTAAGTGGCCACCACCATTCTGGGTTTGACTTCAGAAACGCGAGTGACAATTCCACGCACAGTTACCAATTTCCCCACAGAGTCAGCTCGTACTTCCCGGATCACACGAGGCTTGTTACTGGTTGGGCCTTGAAAGTAAAGCTCACTAAGGGAGAAGATAGTCATCAGCAGGGTCCTGAAGGATAAATTCTCACACCCTTCCCCACTGAGACCACTTACAATCTGCGCATGAGTTCTGGAGGGTACTGGTTCTGGGGGCTTCGCGGTGCCCCAGGGTCCCGGCTCCGCTGCTCCATCATCAGCCGATGCTCAATGTAAACGTCCAGGACATCTTTATTTACCACCTAAAGGAAGAGGGAGGAAGATACGAAAAATGAGTGGCAGAACGGAAAAAAGACAGCATAAAAGGCACCAAGCAGAAATCACTGCCCCTCTTTCTGCCAGCTCAGAAACCATCAGTATCTGAGAAACTTTTTAACAGAAACCTAAGTTCCTTGCCCTGCATTATTCTGCAACCACTCACCTCCCTCTCCTTGTACTGAGGCAGCAGCTCCTGTACAGCATCAGCAAAGAGCCGTGCATAGCGCTTGGCATTCTCACAAATCGAGTCCACCAACTCAGGGTCATCCTCAGCTATATCATCTAAGTCTATGTACATTGCCACTTGTTCCCGATGAGCCAGGCGAACCTGCGGTGGGGAAGAGACAGCAACAGAGCTAAGATGACTGTGCTCACCAGTGTTCACAGGCAAGGACCCCATCATTGTGAGCTCAACACATAGGTTCCAGGTCTCCACAGGAGAGCAAGAGTGGTGTGAGACATAGCAAAACTCACTTCTCAGCCCCCAAAAGACAGCCTTCCAACTCCTGAAAACACCTTAGTTATCATGAACATAGCTTTCTATTCACTTACCAGTATCAGGTATGGTGCTAAATGTGTGTCCCTTACCGACAAATGTAACTGCTGAAATAAGCCAGGCCACCTCTTAGAACTCCTTAAGCAACCACCCCATTACCTCTACCTAGTCTTACACTTACCAACTGGTTCCCATACTTGAACTGCTTCTTGCCAAATTCCTCATCCTGGTAAAATTCTTGTAGGAACTTCTTCACTTTTTCTATAATGTAAACGTAAAATCACGACGATCAACCTTTCTTTCTTTCAGATAACCTTACCGTAAACCCCTCTGATAGAAATCTAAGAAACCCACCCCATTTAAAACAAGATCTGTGAACTAATTAATTATATGAACATTTAAATAAGCTTAAATAATTCTCCCCAAACTGGGCAGAACTCCTTTTTAACAAGTCTGTTTTTAACAGAGAAGAATCAGGGGCCCCTGGCAGGAGTATTACCCAACACCCGCCCCCAGGGGAATTCCAGTCTCTACCTTAGTTAGAAACCTTTGTAGCCTATCCCAAAGGCCTCTCACACCCAGCAACACACTCAGCAATCAAGGTTCTCAGCTTTTCTTCCACGCGTATGACTCCCCCTTTTCTTTCGGTCCCCTAAACCTCTGCTCTCTCTGGGATCGAGGCCACTAGGCCCGTCCTCCACCCGCTCTCCCGCCACTGCTTCCGCTCTTAGTAAACAAAGAAGCACATGGGCCCCGATGCCGCCGCCTCACAGCCCGGGATTCCTCCGCCCACGGTGGGAGCCCGCCCGGCGATTGGCCAGCTCGTCCAGGGACACTCCGTACTCCCCCACTATCTCCCCTCTCGGCCTCCCGCTAAGCCCCCCAATTCCAGGCACGCCCCCACCCTCAGTAGCTCGCTCCGAGGCCGCCGCGCGGAAGGACACTGTTTACACACGACACTCCCTCCAGCCTCGTCGCGCAACTTCCGCCCGCCTTCACTTCCGCTTGGAGGTTGGCCTAAAATGGCCAATCCCGGCGCGCAGCGGCCCGAGACCGCCCACCCCCGGGGCTTCGGCGTGTCTCGGGAGGACGTGGGCACTCGCAGTGCCTAAGGGCGCGGAGGAAAGGGGCCCGGGGGTGCCTGAGCCTTAAGCAGGGTCCCCTGATGTCCTGGTCTCTCCTGGGCGCGACCCTCCCCTCTGGAGCCCCAGCCAGGCTGCCCGCACCCCCAGCCCGATCCGTCCTCCCTTCCCTGACACGGTTACAGCTCTTCTCCGCCCTCAGCACCCTGCGCGCCTCCCAGGCACCGTCTGCCTCAACCCACTACCTCCCGACCCTGGCTCTGGTCTCGCCCGCCGCCCCCGGCCCCCCAGGACCCCAGCTCACACCAACAGATCTTGGCCGGACGCCGCTGCCAGGCTTGCACACCCTTACCTTTCTCGAGCGCGTAGTCCTTAAGCGCCATTACTGCCGAGGGCCGTGCGGCAGCAGTTGGCGACCTCAAGGTTCTCACTCTCGGGATAACAGAGAACGTCCGCGCGGCTGACTGCGGCCGACCAACCGAAATTGGCGCGAAACGTCGCCCCTCACGTGACCGGCGCCACTGCGTGCGGGCCAATCGGAGAGGAGGCCCTCCACCCTCCCCGCTCGCCGCAGGCCCCCGCCTCGGCCAATCACCGGGCGAGCCTGGACTGAGTGACTGGGAAGCGGCGCGGGTGTCGAGAGGGAAAGACTAGGCGAGGCGGGGCGGGCGCCGGGTTTCCCGCGGTCGGAGGAGACTCGCTCTTAAAGGGCCAGCGCGCGCGTCCTTTTGTTCCGCGGCCGCCGGGCGGGGTAGGCCCAACTTTCGCTGTCTCCTTGTCTACTCTTCCGAACGCCTATGATTTCCCAGTTCTTCATTCTGTCCTCCAAAGGGGACCCGCTCATCTACAAGGACTGTATCCTTGACCCGCGGGGCGCGGGGGAGGGGCTGGGTGGGAATAGTGCCCCAGAGCAAGCCTGTGTCGCCCGCTCCTTAGCTGTCCTTCCACCCGGTCAGTTCGCGGGGACAGTGGTGGCCGGGATGTGGCTGAGCTCTTCTACCGGAAGCTGACGGGACTGCCCGGAGACGAGTCCCCGGTTGTCATGGTAACCACTCGTGGAGCGGGAGGGGGCGAGTACTGGGGGGTGCGCCTGGCGGGCCGGGGCGGGGGGCGCCTCCTCCCAGGATGTTTCCCTGAGAGCTTCCACCAGGGGGAGTACATTCTTCCAAATAATATTAACGCAAGTTTATTGAGCGGTAACAATATACCAGGCACAGGTGCTCACATGTCTCGATCCTCAGCAGTTCTGGGGTAGGTACCATCATTAACTCCCTTTACACATTAGGAAGGTGGGCTCTAGGGAGGTTTCATATCTCGCCTGAAGTCACACTGGTAGTCAGTAGGGGAATCAGGAAAGGAGCCCCAGGCTCATGGGCCCTTAAACAGGACGACTCTCTCAACTCTCTTTTCCTAATGCTCCGCCCCCCCCCCCCGCCTCTGCCTCAGCACCACGATGACCGTCATTTTATTCACATCCGACACAGCGGCCTCTATTTGGTAGCCACGACTTCAGAAAACATTTCTCCCTTCAGCCTCCTAGAGCTGCTGTCCCGGTGAGGAGGGCAGGCCTGGGCACCTGGGCGTGGGGGGCTGAGAGGAGGGGCATATGCACACTCCATCCTGTGTCCTCAGCTTAGCCACTCTCCTGGGCGATTACTGTGGCTCCCTGGGTGAGGGGACCATCTCCCGCAACGTGGCTCTTGTCTATGAACTCCTGGATGAAGTGCTGGTAAGTTCCAAGGATTTCCCTCACTGTCCCCTGATCCCTGAAGATATATCCTGTGGTTGCGAGGCTAAGTCCATGCATTTTCACCCCCTCCCTCCACTGACTACTCAAAGACTGTCTTTCCCCCGTCCATAGGATTATGGCTATGTACAGACCACATCCACAGAGATGCTGAGGAACTTCATCCAGACAGAGGCCGTGGTCAGCAAGCCTTTCAGCCTCTTTGACCTCAGCAGCGTTGGCTTGGTCAGTTGAGGGAGAGAGGAGGACAAGGAGGGAGGAGGGTTGGCAGGGAGTATCAAACCTGAGGATTGATTGCTTTGGGTGCTTTACAGTTTGGGGCCGAGACCCAACAGAGCAAAGTGGCCCCCAGCAGCGCAGCCAGCCGCCCCGTCCTGTCCAGCCGCTCCGACCAGGTGAGGGAGGGACTGATGGGTTCAGACCCTCTGGCTTTTTTCTGGGACCCCAGGTCTAAGATCCTGGCATCTCTTTTCACCTCTCCAGAGCTGGATAAATCCCTTACCCCCGTGTCCCCACCCCAGGGCCCTGGCCTCCACTATCCTGTCCTTTCTGCCTGCCCACTTTAGAACACAGGCCCTTCAGCCTCCAACCACCCAAATCCCCTCTCTTCCTCAGAGCCAAAAGAATGAAGTGTTTTTGGATGTGGTGGAGAGATTGTCCGTACTGATAGCATCTAACGTAAGTTTAGGCCCCCAGCCCTGGAGCTGAGGACAGATGGTATTTGGAAACTGTGTTAGGGAGGTCACCTCTGGGCACTAATCTCCCTGCCACTCTCAGGGCTCGCTGCTGAAGGTGGATGTGCAGGGAGAGATCCGACTCAAGAGCTTTCTTCCCAGCGGCTCCGGTGAGAAGTCTGCAGGCTGGCCCCAGGCTGGGGTTTGGGACAGGCTCCTTGGTGGTGTGCATGGCAGCATTTGGTAGCCTTTTCTGATGTCCTTTCCTCTGACAGAGATGTGCATCGGCTTGACAGAAGAATTTTGTGTGGGGAAGTCAGAACTGAGAGGTGAGGAGAGAGGGGTCTTTCTCTGTTAGGTGTATAGGTCACTGCCAAAAGTTTCATGGAGCGAAGTTAGAGACAGACTCCCCCCTCCCTGCTCTTCTCTCCCCAGAGATGGGTTAGGAGAGCTCTTTCTCTCTTTCCAGGTTATGGGCCAGGAATTCGGGTAGATGAGGTCTCATTTCACAGCTCGGTGCATCTGGATGAGTTTGAGTCTCATCGAATCCTCCGCTTGCAGCCACCTCAGGGCGAGGTTAGGATCGGGGTGGCCTAAGATATTCCATCTGCTGGGGGGAAGGGAGGCAGTTCAAGTGTGAGGAGACCAAACTGACCTCCATTCCTCTCTGGCCTCAGCTGACTGTGATGCGGTACCAACTCTCAGATGACCTCCCCTCCCCGCTCCCCTTCCGGCTCTTTCCCTCTGTGCAGTGGGACCGAGGCTCAGGCAGGTAAGACCATTTCCCCTGTTCCAGAAATTCTCTGGAATCCAAGCTGATACCTATATGTTCTCAAGACTTATGGTGGAGTGGTGGTGGTCGAGGTAATATGGTACAAGTTGGAAAAAGGCATCCTCCCCCGAAGTGCACTCAGCCCCATGAACGCTTGTGGCTAGTGGAGCCCTTCTCTCCTTCTTGGGGCACTGACACAGCCACGCGTGGGGGCCCTGGGTAGGGGATGGTGAGATGCCAGGAGGGTATGGCCTGAGTAACGGTATTGTACCCTCTCACCCAGGCTCCAGGTTTATCTGAAGTTACGATGTGACCTGCCCCCAAAGAGGTACAAGTGGGGGTGGTCAAGCCGAATTCAGCTGTGGGGTAGGAGACCAGGCCCAGTAACCTGTTGCTTCCCACCTTCAGATACAGCCACCAGCCTCGGAATCCAGTTTAGTTAGAGGCTGTAGAGTTTGGGAAGGGGATGGGGTGGCACTTGTGTGGAACTCCAATTGTGACATTAATGAAGAGTGGGGACAAATCACTACCTTCCTGGGGCTGACTCTGTTCCTTTCTTTGCAGCCAGGCTCTTAACGTCAGGCTGCATCTTCCCCTGCCACGAGGGGTGGTCAGGTTAGTCCTGTGCACTGTGGGGGCTCGGGTGGTTTTACCAGCTTCCCTGGACAATGGCATGGGACTGGGGAGGAGTGAGCTAGGGGTGGGACTGGCCTGCTCCTGATGAAGGCAGAGGCTGAGCACAGCACCTTTCCTCTCCAAACTCCAGCCTATCTCAGGAGCTGAGCAGCCCAGAGCAGAAGGCAGAGCTGGGTGAGGGAGCCCTTCACTGGGACCTGCCTCGGGTGCAAGGAGGCTCTCAGCTCTCAGGCCTTTTCCAGGTATCAGCTGCTGATCCTCTCAGGCCCTCTCCTCCCACCTCCATTTTCAGCCCCCTGACCCATCCCTCCTCACGCAGACGCTGCATTGTCCCCGCCAGCGTGAGCAGCTTCCTGGCCACTTGGCTTCCCTTGCTTTTTCTCTCTGTGCTTTCAGCACCCCTCCCCCTGCCTCTGCCCCTCACAGATGGATGTCCCAGGCCTCCCTGGCCCTCCCGGCCAAGGGCCCTCCACCTCGGCCCCTCCTCTGGGGCTGGGCCCCGCAAGCCTCTCCTTTGAACTTCCCCGGCACACATGCTCCGGCCTCCAGGTTCGCTTCCTCAGGCTGGTGTTCAGACCCTGCGGAAATGCCAACCCCCACAAGTGGGTGCGACACCTAAGCCACAGCGATGCCTATGTCATTCGGATCTGAGGCTCCCCACACGAGGACGCAGACAGCAAAGGCAGTGGTCTGTGGATTGGCAGGACAAGACTGTCTCTTCCAGCCTTCTGGCCCATGGCTATGCATCTGGCTGGAAGAGTCCTGAGTCCTAGAGACCAGGTGGGCTTGACTGGTTGGACCCTCCTGTGGTATCTAACCTAGGAAGGACTGAGGTGGATCAGAACTTACAAATCAAACTTTTATTTTGGGGAACTGGCTGTACAATATCTAAAAAGAAAGTAATGTGGGGGAAGCAGAATACTGCTTCCTTCCACCCATCGTATGTGTGTGTGTGTGAATCGGGGGAGAGGAGAAGGTCGGCAGATGTGTGACAGCATCAAGGTGCAGGCTGAGGGGAGCCAGATCCGGGGGGCTGGGAGCCATTAGCCTTTGGAGTTCCTGGAGCTGGAGGGGGGCTATCCCCAGCTTCCTGTTTCCCCCCACAGAGAGCGCTGCTCCCAAGTGGGGAGGGGGCTGAGGATGGAGGAGGGGCTGGAGAAGAATGGGAGGTGGGGCCTCCTTTGCCCTCCCCTGTCGGGGGAAGAGAGACCACGATGTACTTCTGGACACTGCCTGGACCAGAGGGAGCAGTGCTGGGGGGCGCGGTGGTGGCGGTGGAGACCAGCTTGACAATGGGCTGCACGCTGGGGACCGTGGTGGTGACAGGAGAGGTGGTGGTGGAGCCTGAGACAGGGGCTGAGGTGCTGAGGGATAGGACCTGGGGGAAGAAAGAAAAGGCAGTGCGGTTGCCTCGCGCCCTCCCCACTCCCCAGGCCTGGGGGAATACTACACTTGTGCAGACCAAATAATTTGTTCCCACCCTCTGAGCCTGTAGGCTGCTGCCACCTGGAGAGCCTTGCTCAGGATGAGCAGCTACGGCCTTGCAGGCCCCTGGGAAGTGCCCCTTCCAGCTCCTGTCCTTGGGCCAAGAGGTGACTGGGTTCTACTCAGCCGCCTAGGGTGCTCTGAGGTAGCCCGGGCCCCTCAGAGCAGCATTGTGACACACTCCCCCTCATCCCTGGTCCCACACGGCTCCACATACCTGTTGGGTGGATGAGGCGCTGGAGGATGATGACATTACAATAAACTTGGTGGGAGGAGGGGAAGGCTGGGGGGGGGCAGCAGCTCGCGCAGACACCAGTGTCTGGACAGGCAGTGCAATGGAGCCGGGGACCTTCAGCAAGCCAGGGGTCCGAGGACCAGGCTGAGGGGCCTGCGAGAGGGTCAGCGTGGGACGGGGCTGCAGGAAGAAGAGGCAAGAAGAAAATGTCAACAGCTAAGAAAAGGGCTCCTCTGGCTCCTCCTCAGTGGGTCTGCCTGGGGTTGGGGCATCATTCACTAAGAGGGCCTAGACTCCCCCAAGACTGCTGAATCAGATGGTCCTGCACTTTCCAAGTGAGCGCGCGTGCCTGAGTGTATGTGTGTGTGTGTGAGTCCCCGCCCTGATGGGAACCCAGCTCTGTCCCAGCCCCGAAGTTTTCTTCATTTCACCTTACCCCTCCTCTCCACTTGGTCACCCTTCCTCCTCCCCACATGGTCACTGACCTGAGTGATGGTCAGAGTGGTCCTGTTGACCTGCTGAGCCTGCAGGGCAGCCTGGGCCCGGGCCTTGACCACATGGGAGCAGAGGAGGGGTCCTAGGGACCCGAATTCTGCCCGATAGGCATCCTGATTGTCAGGCGGTGGGCGCAGCTTTGCCAGAACGGGGGCACAGTGTTTCTGCAGAGAGAAGGCAAAGAAAAGCCTGGTCGAGGGAGGGCTGGGACTCTCAGAAGCAGGAAGGTGGCGAAAAAGATGACCCGTTATTTCAGTTATGTTCCTCTTGGAGGCCAAACTATGCTGGGACAGCAGTGTGTGTAAGGAATGCTGTGGTTTTTCTTTCTAAGAAAACACAGGTTCCCACTGGTGTGAGTGGAGAACTTGCTGAATACACTGGTGACAGCTAAGGGCTGGTTGGTCCGGAGGGCGTGTGCCTTGCACAGAGTAATGCAGAAACACCTCGGGCAGTGCAGGCTAGAAGTCACAGGCTGAGAGTTAAGACCTCTTACTTCTTACTAACCCCTTGGTGCCTCAGTCTTTCCATCTGCAAAACAGTATTGGACCCTGAGGTGTGCTCTGAACGTATGAGACAAAGATGGGATAAGTGAATAAAGGACACCATGTGCTGGCTGAACATTGTACCTGTGTGTGTGGGGAGTGGGAGGAAGTGGGGGGAGGGCAGGAGCAGGGGTCTTTGGTCACCAGGAGGAGGCTCTGCACATGGTCAGCTCCGATGCGGTCGATGTTGCTCAGCACGGGGCCATCCAGGACACCGCGGATCCGTTCCCCCTCCTGCTGCAGCCGTGGCAGAATCAGAGTCTTAATCACCTGTTGGAAAGGAAGGGGAGAAGCCAGGACCCTGGGGTCACCACAGGGTCTCCCAGGTGGGGGCTGTTGCCCGCTATGACCTCATGATGCCTCCTCTCCCTCAGTGCTTCCCCCCGGTGCCTCACATCATGTCCCAGCTCTGCCAGGCCTGCAATGGAGCCGTAACGCGTTGTCCACGGAGTCTTTTCGTCCACCCAGCTCTGTAAGGGGACAAAAAATAGACCCAGATAACGAGGCCTGAAAGGCTAATTGGTAAGGCCCCAAGTCTCTGACAAACACACTTTCCTTGTAGATCATTAAGACATTACAAATCATCAAGTTCCAGTCCCCCTGCCCTCGGCCCCTTGTTTTCAGTGTCATTTCCCCCAGCCAAACTGACCCCGCTGGTTTGGGTGAAGCTCTCACTGTTCTGGTGACAGCCTTGGAGAGTGACGAAACGGCTTACACTCCTCGTTCTCTTGGCTCACCTTGGTGAAGGTCTTGGTGATCCGGGACTGGATGTTGTTAGTGGTTGTGCTGAAATGCTTGCAGATCTGGGCCACCAGGCGGGCGGCAAAGTCCCGGAGCGCCCAGTGATTGTCCACATCTGGCCGCAGACACAGCTGCCTGCTGACGATGCAGGTCATCACAGCCGGGATCAACTCGTGCACCTAAGGAGAAGTGGCGAGTCAGCTAATTCTGACAAATGGCTTCCCATTGGTGGCAGCAAGGTCCCCAAACCACGGAATGAGAGGTGGGTGGGCATGCCCACTCACGTATTTTTCCAGATACAGCGTAGGGTTATCCATCAGCGCCTTCACCATGCGCATCAGATAGATGAGCAGGGCCAGGTTGTTCTGCACCACATTCACACGGACCTGTGGGAGGGAGAAGTGATGGGGCAGTGAGAGCCCTCAGATGAGCTCCCTCTGCTGCCTCCTCACACTGCCCCCACCCCCTGGAACCTCATCCCAGGTCCGGGCCTTCCCGAATCCTCTCACCCCCTCCGAGATGAAGGTGCTGAACCGTGGCAGCATCTGATAGAGCCCTGGGTCTGTTGCAATGCTCTGCAGAGCTTCCTGTGGGAGGAGGGCACCGAGTGAAGTGGGGGCAGATTCCGTGGGGAGGAATTAGTGGGGCCTCCAAGGAGTCTCGGAGTAAAGGCAGGACGGGGGGCCCTCACCGCTCTCTTGGCCTCACATGACCCCACACAGGCTTCGGTGATCTCCTTGTAGTACAGCTGCTGCTCCACAGACAACTCGTGGATACTTCGAGGCTTTAGTCGAAAAGGGGCCCCTTCCAGCAGGGGTGGTGCCTTCTTCTCTTTCCCTGATGGGTTTGGAAAAGAAAGCTCCAGAAGAGGCGTCAGTACCAGACAAACCTTGACCTCCACTCCCCCACCCACGGAGCCCCGGCTTCCCTTAAGTTTCTTGATCCTTCCTGGGGCCCTCTGGCCTGAGGTCTCGTGCCTTGCCCTGACCTCCCCCACTTTGCAAATGACCATCTGGCTTTGGGGCAAGAGCCAGGAGAGGCCTGACCTAGCAGGACTGACCTTTGCCGTCGGCTGGAGTGGCCCCCTGACCTTTGCCTTTCAAGGGTCCGTCTTCCTCCTGGCCTGGCTTTGTTGACTTGAGCGGTTCTGTGGCCTCTGCCTTCTGCTGCTCTTTGGGAGCTGGTGGGAAAGCGTCACAGCAGGAGTGACGAGAGCAGCAGATGTAAAGGGAGAAGGGAGAGTGCGATAGAGAGGGCTGGGCTCCGGGTGCAGAGCCCGGTAACCCCGGTTACCTGGGGGTGGATTCTCCGGGATAGCTGGCTGGCAGCCTTCAATGCTCAACCAATGAGCTGCAAGGAAGGAAGGTGTCAAGTTGAAGCGCTGGACACGGACACTAGGGAGCCACTCCACACTAAGGGATGTGCGTTTTCATGCCTGTTCCCACTTCCTGCAACTCATTCACCAGGGATCTCACACTGAGTTTCTTCACTTGTGAGCTTCCTCAGACCCATATGCATCGCTCCTCCTTTCCCTCCTCCCCACCACCCTGCTCTCCCCTCCCCCAACCTTTGAGGCAGACGTCCAGGGGCACCCGGGGCAGAGGGGTATTGATGATGTCGCTCAGATCAACCTCCTTCTCCTCGTAGAAGTAAAGCTCCCGGCCCCCACCAGAGGCGAAACGGAAAGGAATGAACTCCTGAGCGTGGAAGCCGTAGAGTGGCTATACCAGAAAAGAGAGACACTGGGATGAGAAGTGAGCCTGTGGAGGCGTGGCTGAAGGCAGATGCAGTGTCTGGGAGGATAGCGTCTCACCACCCTGTGCCCCCCTCAGTCCTGTGCCTCCCAATCACCTCGACGTTCTTGAGCTTCAGCGCGTAGTCAATGTCACTGGTGGTGAGCTTCTGTCGCTTCCCCATGTGCATGAACTTCAAGGCGTCCTGGGGGTGGAAGAACAGACGTCAGCCGGAGACCCTGAGGGAGAAGCCGGCCTGGGCAGCACCCTCCATACAACGCAGGGCTGGGCAGAGGGGCCAGGTTACCTGTGCAATCTCCTTGATGCGGTAGCTGACCTCATCTGTCAGCAGCTGGCAGGTCTCCTCCTGAATCTGAGCGATGCCCATTGACTCAGCCACCACCTTCATCGACTCCGAGGGTAGCACAGTGTTGCTGAGCTTTAGCTTCTTCTCCTCAGCCATTCTGGAGCCCCTCCTCCCCTCTCCCCAAGGATGATGCCCCAGGGCGGAGAGATGGAGCCGCTGGCAGGGGGAGGGGTGCGCAGAAGAGATAAAACGTGAGACACAAAGAAGAGGGGCTGTCAAGTCAGGAGAGGCCACAACAAAAGGAGGACAATGAGATGCGAGGGGGGCAGGGACTCAGGGGTGGCTTCTGTTCATCCCCACGTGAGTCAGCACTGGGTGCAACAGAAGGAAGTAGCAATCCGATCCAATTCAACACAATTTATTGAGCTTTGATTCTACTGAGCTCAATATTCTATTGAGCTCTGATTCTATCCTAGAATCTCTAGATTCTATCCTAGGCACTGGACAAGTGCGGTACAGCAGAATGATCTCGGCCTTTAATTTAAATCCTAGCCTAGCTCTACTTAGCTGTGTTACCTGGGCACGTTACTTAAATTCTCCCAGCTTTGGGTTTCTTCTCTGTAAAATGTGGAAAATGTCTTTTTTCCTAAGGTTGTTAATGTGCAATATCTTCATCTCTCTTGCCCCTTCTTGCATCATTAATCATGCTTGACAAAAATACAATATTGGTGAAATAGAACTCTCTCACTTGCTCTGAGCCTACAGACCTGTACAATTGAACGTTATGAGAAAACACACAACCATCCCAACCAATTCCCATTTTAAATTCATGGCCGTAAACTTCAAATGGGCCCTTAATGCTGCCAGACAATCACATTGCCCCTCAGTGCACTCAGTCCCCCCTCTGTCTTATTTGACACCTCTTCTCCTCCCTCACTTCGGCCATCAGAAGAGACCTCCACAGACTCCCACCATCACATCTACCCAGTGCGCAGCACCGGGGCCCACATACTCTGCCTTCACACCTGCTACTGTGGAGAAACTGCTCACGCCCCTCATGAGCTCAAGCACTGCTCCAGCATTTCTCCCATCTCCCTGCAGCGTCGATTTCTCAACCTACCAGATCATCCCCATCAGCCTACAAAGTGCGGTGATTTTTCCCATCTAAAACAACAAAACAGTGGTCTATCCATACAATGGGATATTATTCAGCCTTAAAAAGGAGCAAGATTCTGACCCGTGCTACAACATGGATGAACCTTGAAGACATTATGCTGAGTAAAATAAGCCAGTCACAAAAAAGACAAATATTGTATGATTCCACTTATATGATGTTCTTAGAGTAGGCAAATTCATAGAGTCAGAAAGTAGAAGGGTAGTTGCCAGGGGCTAGGAGGAGGGGAGAAAAGGGTGTTATTGTTTGACAGGTACAGAGTTTCAGTTTCGCACCATAAAGAGTTCTGGAGATGGATGGTGGTAATGGTTACACAATATGAATATTCTTAAACACTACTGAACTGCACACTTCAAAATAGTTAAGATGGTAAGTTTTATGTTATGTGTATTTCACCACAATTAAAAATTTTTTAAAAAATCTTTTCTTCATTCCACTTTCTCTACAAGCTATACTCTGTTTTTCGGCTCCCCCTTGCAACAAAACCCCTGGAAAGAGTTGTCTTTTTTTTGTGTGTGTGAGGAAGATCAGCCCTGAGCTAACATCCATGCTAATCCTTCTTTTTTTGCTGAGGAAGACTGGCTCTGAGCTAACATCTATTGCCAATCCTCCGACTTCCCCCACCCCCAAAGCCCCAGTAGATAGTTGTATGTCATAGTTGCACATCCTTCTAGTTGCCGTATGTGGGACGCGGCCTCAGCATGGCCAGAGAAGCAGTGCGTTGGTGCGCACCCAGGATCCAAACGCCGACCGCCAGTAGCAGAGCGTGCGCACTTAACCGCTAAGCCACAGGGCCGGCCCTGGAAAGAGTTGTCTTAACTCTCTGTTTCTAACTCCTGTCTTCTCCTTCTCTCTTGAACCTACTCCAATCAGGCTTTTGACCCCACTTGGTCCCTGAAACGGCTCAAGGTCACCGATGACTCTACATTGCCAAATCCAAGTTCCACTCTCCTTCCCCATCTCACTTGACGTCCCAGCAGCGTATAGCCTAGTTGACTACTGCCTTCTGAAAACACTTTCTTTACTGCATTGCCACACCACCTTCTCTTTGTTTTCCCCCTACCTCACTGGCCTCTCGGTTTCCTTTACTGGTTTATCTTCTCATCTGCTTAATGTTGGAGTGTCCTGGGCTCAGTCCTCGGTCTTCTTCTGCAGCTACACTTATTCTCTTGGTGACCTCAACCACTCTCACAGCTTTCAGTATAGCTCATAGGCTGATGATGGCCAAATTTATATCCCCAGCCCGGAGCCTTCTTAACTCTAGACTCGTATGTCAAACTGTCTACATAAAATCTCTTCTGAAACTGAACTCCTGATCTCCCCACCTGCTCCAGCCTCAGCTTTCTTCATCCTCAGAGCGACACCATCCATCCAGGCGCTCATTCTTTATGTGAGTCCTCAAATCAAACCCACAGGTAATCCAACCTGAATGTCTCACTCTCACTGCGAGGCCAGGTCACCACCATCTATCATCTGGGTAACTTCTGACAAGGTCTTCCTGCTCCACCACCGCCCCCTACATCTCTTCCCAACACAGCAGCCAGAGTGATTCTGTCAAAATATCAATCAGATTAGGTCATTTCTCTGCTCAAAACCCTGTAATGGCTCCTCATTTGTCATACAGTAAAATCCAAAATCCTTATTACGGTCTACAAGCTCCTTCGTGATTTGCCCTCTCTCCGTTACATCTCTGACCCCCTTTCCTTTCTTATCCCACCTTGATCCAGCCCCACTGTCCTCCTCGCTGTCCAAACCTGACAAGCATGCTCTTGCTTTATGACTTTTGCTGTTCCTTCTGCCTGGAATGCTCTTCCCCCTATGTCAGCTTGGCTGCCCATTCCCACCATCCTATTTAATACCACACCTCATCCTCACTCTGCCCTTTTATTCCCCATAGCATTTAAGATCTGCTAATATATATCGTATCATTTCTTATTGTTTATCACCACCACACCTCCCCTTCCCGCACCGTGTGGACAGAGATCTCTGTTATATTCACTAATGTATTCCAAGACCCCAGACTGGTGCCTGAGACACTGTAGATACTCAATAAATATTTGTTGAGTAAACGAATGAATTGTAAGGCTTAGAGATGGAGGTACTCAATAAATACTTCGTACCACTATTATCAAAATGAACAAGATATAGGCCAAGCTTGGAATCTACTTTGCGGCCAAAAGGAAAGTGGTTTGCCTGAAGCTGGCATTAAGAAGACTACTGTCAGAGTGTTTAGGACTGACTGCGGGTGTAGGTGGGGGACGGCTGGGGCGTGCTGGAGGGCTGGGAAGATGGAAGCGAAAGAGAATCTGGTTTTCTCAAACCATCCCAGGTCTCCTCCCCCAGGTTTATAAGTCTTATCTGCAGGGAACACATTTATTCAACACATACTCTGTGCCTGGAGCCAGGTATACAAGAAGCGGTCGTGTCGCAGTTCCCTGGCGAACTCCTACTAATCCTTCAATACCTCGCGTTACCCTCCGCCAGTAAACGCTCATAAAACACGCTACGACCTCAGGAGTCCCTCAGGTCAGTGGAGTGGGCAGCAAGGCTTCTCAGAGGAGGGGTAACTTGAGCTAGATCTGTGTAGAATCTCCCCAGCAGAGATGCGGGTCGTTGGTCCCCAGGCAATGGGCACAGCGCGAAAGGAAGCGCAGAGCCCGGCTCATCCCCCCCGACATCCCTCCAATGCAAACACACACGGAGTCCCCACGCGCACGGACACACAACCAACCGTCCTCCTCCGGGTCCCCACACGGGCCCTTCAAAGGGTCTAGCCCCGGGTACCACTCAGACCCGCCCCCGCCAGCCGAGCGTTCAGGGCAGGAAAAGTCTCTCACCGCCGCCAAAGCGCCGCTCACCCGGCGCTCGGCGCCATGTTGGCCCCGCCCCCTCCCGGGAGCAGGTCCTTGCAGAGACGGAGAGCAAGACACTGCCCCTTCCCCGAGCCGGAATAAGTCCCCTAGGCTCACGGCATGAAATGATATAAAAAACACTGTTTCTGTGTCTACATGTAAGGAGCACACTCTCCTGTTGCAATTACTTCAGTTTATTCCTTCACCACCCAGCGGCCAGGACCTTCCGGAGCCGCCACCACATCGAGGCGGGGAAGCCCGGAGCGTAGTGAGGCCCCACCCCCTTTCGGGCCAGCACTGCGCGTGCGCCTCCCCTGCCAGGCTGGATTTAAGTTGCCGCCGACCGACTCGCGATTTAAAGGGCCCGCTGCCTTCCCGAAGTTGGTTAGACGACAAGGGGTGGTTGGTTGTGCACAGCACTTTGTCATGGGACCTGTGCGGCTGGGAATATTGCTTTTCATTTTGGCTGTGTACGTTGCTTGGGCTGGGACGCCGAAAGAGGAGGACGATGACACAGAACGCTTGCCCAGCAAATGCGAAGGTATCAAAAGGGAGTAGCCTCTGTTCGCATCCCTCTGCCCCACCTCCTTCGTCTAGGCCGAGCCAAATGGACCATGATGGCTGGGTCACTCGACCTCCTTAAAGGCCTGAGGGAGGTTCTGGTGGAGGTTGGCGGAATTCGAATGGGGTCAAGGGAAGGAACGCATAGCGCTACCCCCAAACTATGGCACTACAATTGCCATGAGACATCCAGGGGGAGCCCGTTTTTCCTTGTTGGCTTGGGCCCCAATGGTTTGTGGGAATTGTAGTTAAGGGACTATCTGCCCAGGACTGCCCACTCTACTGAGCATCTTGAGTGCCTCTGTGTGTTTGTGTTTCCCCCATACCACTAGACCTAAATCTGGAGAGCCTGCAGGAACAGCGTGTAAGGCTCGTACCTTGTGGATAGCCTCTGCTCCACCCCGGCAGAGACGCTCCCAAATTACAGGCCCCACGCCCTCCTGAGGGGATTTGGGGGTGAGTAAATCAGCCCTTGATGCTCATAAATGAAAGAGGAGGCCACACTACTGGGAGAGGTTCCCCATACGTGTGAGGCTTTGCAGAGGGTGTGTACTATAGGGCTTTTACAGCGAGCAGCATCTTCTGTGGCTGCCTCGCGTGGGTTGCCCAGCTGGGAGGGGACACTTCAGAGTTGGGCCATTCAGTGCCCTGGCTCCCTAGTTTGTTGCCTTCCTGACTTGAATTTCTTCCTTGGATTCTTTTTCCCTTCACCTCGCTCCACAGTGCGTTTCACTATCAGTGTTCCTCATGACTTGGTCCTAATCTCTCCTCTCCTTTCACTTGTGTCCCCACTCTTCTCCCCCCGACCGCTGCCAGTTTTTCTAAACACAGACCCAGTCAGTCCTTGCTTTAACCCCTCTGCAGGCCTCCTGCTGTGGTCAGAATATAGCCAACGTTTTTGGCATAGCATACGTCTCTTTGTTGTATGGCCCCCACCTTTCTTACATTTCCATACCCCACCCCCATCCCCAAAGAGTCCAGGCCTCAGCCACAGTGAACTTCTCACGGTCACCAAGCCTGCCCTATCCTCTCGCACCTCTGTGCCTTTACAGGTTGTTTTTCCCTTTGCCTGGAATGACCCTCTCCGGTCTGTATTTGGTTCTTCATGACTCAGTTTAAATGTCACCTCCTTTGGAAGCCTTCTTCCTTTTCTATCACCTCCCACTATGTTATAAGACCTTGGAGGGAAGGAGAATCCCTGGGTCTCCCAGGTCCTAGCCTAGTGCTTAGTGCCTGGCACATTTTAGGCACTTTTGTTACTTGCCCCTGTGTTTAGTTTGCTTGGCCCTTCTGTATGGGCCACTCTCTTTTCTTGGGAGTCACTGTGCCAGGATACGTGCTAGGTGCTGGAAAGACAGTGGTGGAACAGATGCAATGCTCACCCTTAAGGAAATCACAGGCTAGTAGGAAGTCAATAAATGACCATTGAATGAATTTTGCATTTCCTAGTGAGACTAAGTCTCTTGGTTTTAACCCCTAGTGTAGGGTCTATCACACCATATTGTCATCATGTTTTTCTCTGTCCCCAACTACATGGCAGTGTCCCTTGGATAAGGATCATGGGTCTTACTGCTCTCTGTATTGTTATTGTGCATCCAGAAGGAGGTCAATAAATGACTGCAGAACAACAGAAAACACTTATACACTGCTCACTATGTGCCAGGCACTATGCTAGGAGCTTCACACAGATTGACTTATTTAATTCTCACCACACCCCTATGAGGGAGGTACTATTATTATCTCCATTTTAGAGGTGAAGAAACCAAGCCACGGCAGGATTGTCAGCTACTAAGTGGCTGAGTCAGGATTCCAACTCAGTCAGGCTGGCTCCAGTCTGCACTTAGAACCATCATTCTTGGCCGGCCCCGTGGCTTAGCGGTTAAGTGCGTGCGCTCCGCTGCCGGCGGCCCGGGTTTGGATCCTTGGTGCGCACCGAGGCACCACTCCTCCAGCCATGCTGAGGCCGCGTCCCACATACAGCAACTAGAAGGATGTGCAGCTATGACAGACAACTATGTACTGGGGCTTTGGGGGAAAAATAAATAAATAAAATCTTTAAAAAAAAAAAAAAAAAGAACCATCATTCTCTGCTGCCTTTGCTCAGCTGCAGAATGAGTCGCTGGTATGTTTGTTTGTCTTTCACATCCTCTTGGACATCTAGTGTGTAAGTTGCTGAGCCTGGAGCTACAGGAAGAGCTGGGTCGCACTGGCCGATCTCGAGAGATGCTGGAGCTGGGGCAGGTGCTGGACACAGGCAAGAGGAAGAGACACATCCCCTACAGCATTTCGTGAGTCCTTCTTGTGTTCCTTCACCTTCCAACCCCTGAAGGAGCCCTGGGAGCTCCCACAGCATCCAGGGACATCTTTGTTTCCCCTCTTTCCACAGAGAGACAAGGCTAGAAGAGGCCTTGGAGAACTTATGTGAGCGGATTCTGGATTACAGCGTTCATGCTGAGCGCAAGGGCTCACTGAGATATGCCAAGGTCAGACTTCCCCAAGGCAGGATCTCACTTCTCAAAAACAACGACCTGTATCCCCTCGCGCCCATCTTCCCCCAGCTCTGGAGTATCCTCTCCCCATTGTAGACTCCCTCATCTTACCTTCATGGAACTCACCCCTGAGTCTCCACTAGTCAACAAAACTGATATGGTGGAATGGGGAAGGAAGAGGCGGGGCAGTGGGCGGGGCTCATCCCAAATTCCCATCTCTCAGGGGCAGAGTCAGACCATGGCAACGCTGAAAGGCCTGGTGCAGAAAGGGGTGAAGGTGGATCTGGGGATCCCTCTGGAGCTGTGGGACGAGCCCAGCGTGGAGGTCACATTCCTTAAGAAGCAGGTAGGAGGGATACTAGCACTGCCCAGGGAGGAGAGAAGGGAACCTGGGAGGGGAGCTAGATCCTAGGGAGGTCCACTTCTAAGCAGGGAGAGGCGGCAGAGTGAAGACTCTGCCATCGGTTGAAGTGGGCCCAGGAGCATATCAAGAAGTAATAATGAAGGCTAATAATATGCACTGTCACTTACTGAGCAGATACTATGTGCCAGATTCGGGGCCACATACTTTGCAGCTGCTGCCTCATTTTACTCTCACAACAACCTGACGTGGGAGGTACTATTACCATTTTTCATTTTACAGGCAAGGAGCTGAGACTCAGAGTTTAATAACCTACTTGGCAGAGTAGGTGCTGGTAAATGTTTGTTGAATGAATGAGGATCACACATCTAGTAAGCCAAGTTTAACCTCTTGGCTACCTGCCTCTCCAGGGTGGGGTTGGGAGACAGGGAGTGAAGTGCAGAGAGGAGGGTTTCCAAAACCCAGCAGAGCAGATACCCTTCTGACCCTTCCATTTGACCAGTGTGAGACGATGCTGGAGGAGTTTGAAGATGTTGTGGGAGACTGGTACTTCCACCATCAGGAGCAGCCCCTACAGCATTTTCTCTGTGAAGGTCATGTGCTCCCAGCTACTGAAACTGGTAAGTGTGTGAGCTGGTTCCTTTCCTGCCAGACTACACCCTCCACTACCCCCAGGCCCAATATCTAAATTGTTTTCTATCATCCAACTTAGCATGTCTCCAGGAAACTTGGACTGGAAAGGAGAAGATCACAGATGGGCAAGAGAAGACAGAAGGGGAGGAGGAGCAAGATCAGGAGGAGGAGGAAGAGGAGGACATGACCAGCACACCAGGCCACCCCAAGCACGACCCAGAGGATCTTTGACTCTTGCCTTTGAGCCCCCAGGCTGGGGCAGCAGTCACAGAGAAGAACCCTCTGAAATCTGAGCTCTCCCTGCCCCACAGCTTTAAGTGTGTGTGTATGTGTGAGTGACCCCACCCCAGAGCTTGTAGCTGTTCTCTCCCATCTGGTCTCAGGCAGGATCTTGGTGGTGCAGCATGGCATGGCTATAAGGAGAAACAGCGGAGCAGTAGGTGGAAGCCCTGCCCCAACAGATGAGCCCTCTGCCTGCCATCTAGCTCCTTAATTGTCAGGTGTGTGTGGTGACAGTATTGAAGGCTTTCCCCTTTAAATATCTCTACTACCCCCCCACCTCACCCAGAGGTCAGCGAAGGCATAGGGGTTGTGGGCCTTGGGAAAGTCACTTTGCCCCTCAGGGGCTCTGTCTTTTAGATCTTCACAAGGAAGAAGCCAGAAGGGACATTCTCTACGACTTAGATCCACTGCCTGCGTCCAGGAGGCTACATGGCCACAAACTGAACGAGAAGGGACACTGGATGGGGATGGGGTGATGTTGATAAGTTAGGTGGGGTAGATACTTGGTCTCCTTCATCTTAATTTCACCGAGGGCCCACCACATAATTTCACAGGTGCCAAATTTTCTATATCGCTAGTAAATTGTTTTTTAATATCACCTGGGCCCGAAGTATGAACTGCTGTGCATTCATCCTAGCTGGCCGATATGGCAGCGCCCTGAGAATAGGGCCGTTGGCCGCCGTCCTATTAGAAGCTAATGGTGCTTTGTAATTTTCAGCCCAAGGAGGCTGGCAGGGACCACCAAGCTGAGAACTGTAGTATTTAGGGTGTCAGAGCAGCCCGTCTGCGCATGCGGGAGAATGCGCCGGAATTAAAATTCAAAGGGCGGTGTCATCTCGGCCGCCATACTTGGGCTTACGGGAGCTCGCAGAGGACAAAATGCCACGCGTTTTCCCGATTTCTAGCCTTTCCTGAGTGAGGCAAGACCTAAGAGAGGCGATAAAACTACATCCAAGGTGGAGAGCGGCTCCGGTTAGAGTGAGGTATAAATGAAAAGGACAGCCTCTGGAGGGTGGTGGGTGAGGACCCACTACGCGAGAGGAGCGGGGCGGGGGCCAAAGACGATGAGGGACCGGCGGATTCACGCCGAAGGGAAGGTTGGGCGATACCATTTTCGGAAGGGGGGCGAGAGCGATACCACCGTAAGGGTGCGGGTGGGGGGTGGCGAAGAACTGAGGTTTGGAATGTTGCCACTTGGCGGGGCCGGGCGTGTGTGGGAATCCGGAGGGAGTGGACAGTCGCCCACAGCCCCCCTTTCTTTCCCCAGCCCGTCCCTCTCCTGCCATGAGCAGTCTAGTGCGGACCGAGCGGCTGCGTGGGGAGCCCCCTCTGTTGGTGCCTGGTGATCCCTACTCCGTTGTGGTTCTGCTGCAGGGCTACGCGGAGCCCGAGGGAGGCGACGCAGTGCGCGCCGATGGCTCCGTGACCCTTGTCCTGCCCCAGGCCTGGGGCCCGGCCTCCAGCCACAGGGAGTCCCTGTCCGAGGACGGCGAGGCGAAGACTTCCCTGGAAGAGGCGGCCCGTGGCCCCATCCTCGTGGACACCGGAGGCCCCTGGGCTCGGGAGGCGCTTCTGGGGGCCCTGGCGGGGCAGGGCGTGGCCCCTGGAGACGTGACTCTGGTGGTGGGGACCCACGGACACTCCGATCACATCGGGAACCTGGGGCTGTTTCCCGCGGCGGCTCTGCTGGTCTCGCACGACTTCTGCCTCCCCGGGGGCCGCTACCTTCTGCACGGGCTGGGCGAGGAGCGGCCCTTGCGGCTGGGCCCGGGGCTTGAGGTGTGGGCCACGCCGGGCCATGGCGGGCAGCGGGACGTGAGCGTGGTGGTGGCGGGCACGGCCCTGGGCACCGTGGTGGTGGTGGGCGATGTGTTTGAACACGAAGGGGACGAGGACTCGTGGCAGGCGCTGAGCGAGGACCCAGTGGCACAGGAGCGGAGCCGGAAGAGGGTCCTAGGCACCGCCGACGTGGTTGTACCTGGTCACGGAGCTCCTTTTAGGGTGGTCAGGGAAGCCTCGCAGCCAGAGACAAAGGATCTGGGGAACAGCCGGCAGGATTCCGTGGTTGGAGACAAGGAACCCACAGTGCACCGATAAGCCCTGGGAGAGACTGGACTCCTGTCAGGGAAGCCCCTCAGCCAAGGACTTGACGTCCAGGACATGCAGAGGACCTGGTCAGCCAGTCAGAGGAGTCAAGGTGCTCACTTCCAGCTCTTCTAGGAGGCCGGCTTTCCAGCGAGGACACAGGGCTCTTGCCACTGCTGTCACCGATATCCCTGCTTCTACAACCAAACTAGCATCAAGGACTGGCTCAACTGTGTGCCACCTCTCGGGGCTTCATTAGTAAAACGGGAGAGTGTTCTTGGGAGGATCGTCCAAAATAAAAATAGGAAACTGCATCATACTGCGCTAATGTAAATGTGAAGCGTTAATAGCGATAATCATGCAAATGTAATCACCAACTGCAACACTGCAATGAGAACACTTTGGCCAATTGCCTATTTCTTGTAGGATGCCCCTTGCTGAGAGAAGGGTAACACCTTAGGCATCTGACTTCATTCATTCATTCATTCAATGAATATTTAACACCTGCCATGTCTCGAGCACTGCTCTGGGTCATGGGGATACAACAGTGAGCAAGCTAGGGAAACTCCTGTGCCTCATGGAGATTACACAGACAAGTAAACAGCCACAATAATAGTAGTAAACCAAATAATTAGAGGTTGTGGTTAGAGATATGAAAAAAAAAGCAGGGTGAGAAGGGCAGAGAGTGCTGGGGTGGAAGAGTGGTCTGGGAAAAGAGTTGATGTTGTTTGATCAGAGAACTGAATGAGAAGAAAGCAGGCCATATGAGGATCTGGGAGGGGGCATTCCAGGCATAGGAACAGCGGGTATAAAGGCCCTGAGGCAGGACTGCTTGACCTGCTTGAGCTGAGAGAAGACCGTGGGCTTGGACTGCAGATCCCCAGGGAAGAGTGGCAATAAATGAGGCTGCAGAGTTAGGCAGGGCCATCATGTAGGGCCTCATGGACTGTGGTGGGGGGTTTGGATTTATACCGAGAAGCCTTTGGCTTTTGAGCAGGCTAATGACCTGGTGTCATTTATGTTTTAAAATAATCATTCGTTCTGAGTGGAGAAGTGGTTGGAGTGGGGCAAGAATAGAATTGGCTGGACTAGTAGGAAGCTATTGCAATCTTCCAGGTGAGAGAAGTTGATGGTACCTACCCTTATCCCAGAAGTCCTATTATGGCTGTGGCCTCTTCTCTGCTGTGTCTCAGACCCCAGGCCCTCCATCCACACAACCCCAGGACTCACAGAAGCGCTCAGGTGTGGCAGACAAAGGAGAGGAGGAAGTCCACCTTGTTGTGGACCATGAGTCGTCCTGGGTGGATGTTGTCAGGCAGGGCCAGACTGCAGGCATTTCCCAGACATCCACAAAGGCTATGCAGAGTTCAGCAAAGGCAGCTCGGAGGAGCTGGTTCATCTGGAGGATGAACCAGTAGCAGCCATACATGGACTCGTAGCCCGCATTGGCCAGTTTGATGACCACAAGAATGCAGGTTCCCGGGCCAGCAGTGCAGCCACGGTTGCCTGGATCCCTGTCAGTCGTTCCACAAAGAGGGAAGGTGGTGAAGTGGGCGCCCAGGCCCAGCACCACCACGGGGTGGGGGCCCCTGGCCAGGCTCCCAGCTCCTGGGCCATAGAGTGCAGGGAGGCCACTGGGGTGTGGAGGGAGCGCAGGGGCCAGTTGTGGGCCCGCCAGTGCAGCACGATGCCCTGAGTGGTCTCCACGGCCATCAGGAGCCCTGTATGATATGTGACATGTAGATCTTCCAGCTTCAGGGCTGTGGGGAGGATGAGAGAGTTGGGTGCAGGGGTTATTTAGAACTATGCACTCTCAACTTGTACAAAAAAAATTCCAGTCTCGATTTACTTTCCAGAACATACGTCTTCTGCCCATGACTCAGGCCTGGTCATCCAGAACAACACGTCTCTTTGGCCACATTGATTGTCTCCAGGGTAGATGGGTCACCTAAGTTGGTCCAGTTTTGGTAGTCTTAGGGTTTTTGCTGGAGCTGGTGGAAAAAAGTCTAGTTTTTTCCTGCAAGACTGACATGGGAGGATGAGTCCTCTTGCCACCTTGTTGGAAGAGCCTGCTGCTGCTGGGCCACCAAACGAAGACTGAGAATGAAGCTAAACAGTAGGGGGCAGAAGTGAGCAGTTAAGAAAAACAGACCTGATGACCAGCTTGAGCCCCGAAAGCAAGGTCCACTACTCAACTCTTTAGTCACCTGGGCCAGTTAACTCCTTTCCTGCCTAAGCTTCTTTGACTGTGTTGTCACTCACAACAAGAGGAGTCCGGAATGGATACAAACACTGGTGGAAATGATCCGTTAGAGCAAGGCAGGGAGGATGGTGTGGAGAAGGGTTGATATCAGGGAAAGCAGTGCTTAAGATTTGAGAAGGTTAGGCTCAGAGTGATTGTCCTCTTAGAAGTTTCTTTCAAGCTTCTTTGTTGAGCAAATTCTTAGGGAAACTTGACCTATATGATTAGATTCCTCTACTCATAAATATTCAACGGCTCTGCATTGCCTGTAGAATAACCCAGACTTTCTCGCCCAGTCCTCTTCAAGGCAAACTCTCCACTCCAGTTTGGCTGGACTGCCTGCTGCTCCTTCCAGGCATGCCCACGTGCACCTTCAGATACTCCCACCACTGCCAAACCCTGGAGTCCCCCATCATGTGGATGACATGGCCAGCCAGGCAGCCCAGGGTGCTGTCAACAGTGGAGGAGGAGCGGCCAGAGCAGGACAGCACCACACATCTCAGTGATAGAAGCCAGAAAGTTTTGGGACCAGGAACTCAGGGCTGCATGGGAGCCATGGGGACAGGGCTATAGGCAAGGGAAAAATGGAACCGGCTAAATTAGTAAAGAGAGCTAACGTTTTTTGAGTGTTTACTCTGTGCCAGGTGCATGTACTATAACCATCCTCTTATACTAGACGGGGAAATTAAGCAAAGTGAGTTGGTAAGTGTCAGAGCAAGCACGAGAATGCAGGCTTCCAGACTCCACTGCTCATCCCTCAACCACTCCGGCTAATCCCAGTTAGGGACATAACCCTCCAGGTGGGCTAGCCTCCACCCCTAACTATCCCAGATGCACTCACTCAAGCCGCTTCTTCTCTTGGCTGCCATCTGGCTGTGGGTCAGAAAGGCCCCGAAGGAGAGCTTTGTCTGTCACATTCCTAGTGAGACAAATGTCTATGACAAGAATGAAGACATGGTGAAAGCTTGAGTTCAGGTGGGAGAATGTTATTCATAATTTTAACTATGCCTATTTCCAAAAAGGATTCCCAGTGGCTACCATAGATATTTGTATACAATACGGTATAATTAAAAGAGACATTAGAAATAGTAGAAGGCGAAGATAATTTTTTCAGGAACTTGCCAATTTTACCAGGACACTTCCTGAAACTGAACATTACATTTGGCCCTAGACTTCCTAGCAATACACACACACAAACCGTGTTTTATAGTTTTCCCTTTCTAGTAATAGGAAACATATGAGCTTGTTTAGAGAGAAATTTTTCCTTGAGTTTACGTTCTAAAAGGATCAAGGAGTGGATGAAAACTCAGACAAAAGGAAAATGACAGGAAATATCCAGACAGTTATGAATGTGCTTTAGAAGTTGTCGAATGAATGGGGTGTCAATTAGCTTTTATTGTATAAAAAACCACCCCCAAACCTAGTGGCTTAAAACCACAAACATTTATCATTTCTTACAATTCTGTGGTTCATCTGGACTGCCTTGGCTGGGGCTGAATGGGCTATGATGGCCTCCCCATGCATCAGGAACCTCAGCTGGAACTGATGAAATGCCTAGGGGCTCTCTGCACACAGTTTCTCAACATGTGACAGGCTAGCTCGGGCTGGTTCACATGGTGGCAGAAGTGTTTCCAGTGCCAGGGGCGCTGCAAAGCCACTTGAGGTCTAGGCTCAGAAATTGCACAATATCCCTTACACCGCATTCTGTTGGTTAAAGCAAGTCATAAGGCCGGTCCAGATTCAGGGATAAGGAAAGAGCCTCCAGCTCCTGGTAGAGCTGCAAAGAATTGGTGGCCATTTTTGCAGCTGCAATCTACACAGTGGGTGTGTGCATGAATGGTGATGCTAAAAGTTCACCATCTTCAGTTTTAGGTAGGTCTTAAATGCAATCTTTTTTTTGTGTGTGAGGAAGATCAGCCCTGAGCTAACATCCATACTAATCCTCCTCTTTTTGCTGAGGAAGACCAGCTCTGAGCTAACATCTATTGCCAATCCTCCTCCTTTTTTTTCTCCCCAAAGCCCCAGTAGATAGTTGTATGTCATAGTTGCACATCTTTCTAGTTGCTGTATGTGGGACGCGGCCTCAGCATGGCCGGAGAAGCAGTGCGCCCGTGCGCGCCTGGGATCCGAACCTGGGCCGCCAGTAGCGGAGCACGCACACTCAACCGCTAAGCCATGGGGCCGGCCCTTCAAATGCAATCTTTTTATGCTTTCTCCCATTCCCTAAAGCAGTCCTGTCAATCACACCGCACCATTCCTTCCTCACTCCCAGAAGGGGGCAGTGCTTCTGACTTCACAGAGAGCGCAAATACCCTTGCCCCAGCTATCTCTGCTTCAAGACACCTTATCAGAAAATTCGTCAGCATCTGGACCCAGGCTCACCTCCAGAAGAGGAGCAGTCCCCTCCTCTCTGACCAGACATTTCCTTTATATCCTTGCTGACTCCTCTTCATCATTTTCCATTCACTGTCTTCCTCAGTCGGGCTCCCACCCTGACCACACCACTGAAGGGACTCTGGATGAAGTTGCTCATGAACGTTGTAATTGCCAATTCCAAAGGACACTTAGTGCTCATTTTACTTGACTGCCCAGTAACACTTGACATTCCTTCTTGAAACTTGCACGCCCCCTTGGCTTCCTTGACCACACACTGCTCTGTTCTCCACTTTACTCACTGCCCACTTCCCACTCAGTGTCCTTTGAGGGATCCTCTTTCTCCTCATGCACCTAAATAGTCTAAAAAAATTTTTTTTTGTTAAATATTAATTGGTCACCAGAGCATCTCTAAAATAAAAGGTACAAAGAACAACAATGCAGTAAACACCAGTGTACTCACCACCCAGTTTAAGAAAAACACACTGTCATTACTTTGAAGTCTCCTTTATGTTTTTCTCTCATCCTATT